GCCTTCGCGCTCCCAGGACCTGTCCCCAGTGCAGCACAACAGGGTCGCACTCCCGCATCTGCACTCCGTTGTGACTGGAAACGAGATCGCGCTCCCCAGGCCGCAACCCCTCGTTTACAAGAGACTCGCACGTCCGATGCACCAATCCCTGATAAGTCACTGCTTCTTCGCGCACCGAAGCCACCTTACTGAAGTACAACGCGCTGGCGTTCCCCAAATTGCCAAGAACTCGCGCTCACGAAGCCACAATCCCATCTACCTTACATCGCCATCGCGCTCCCAGAGCCACACTCCCTTGCAATAAACAGCGCACTCGGGTTCCCGAAGGCAGAACCGTCTACAACTTACGGCGCGATCGCGCTCCCGAAGCCACAATCCCTTGAGAATTACAACAGGCTCGCGCCCCCGAGGCCAACATCCTGTGCGAATCACTGCGCATGCGTGTCCCCGAAGGCCCACCCCAACCAGTGACGTACGACGCGCTCGCGTTCCCGAGGCCACAATCCTTCTTGAGAGTACAGCGACCCCGCGCCTCCGAGCTGCAACCCTTGCACACTGCAGCAGATTCGCGCCCCCGAAGCCACAACCCATGGCAAATCATGACAGCAAATTCGCGCTCCCGAGGCCACGAAACCACCTCGCGCAGGCTGACCAGAAAGCCGCCACTCCTTCCCAGAACAGGAGAACCGTCATGTCTGGACTGGGATCCGTGCACGGGGGTCGCTCGTCGCCCCCTCCCGCCGTTTTTCCCCAGAGGTCGGCTCCGGATCCGAGGCCACGAGGCCTCGAGAATAGCTGCCCGTGGGCCCTCCCGAGGCCGCGAACCCTCGCCAATCAGAGTGGAACCGCGCTCCCGAGACCATCATCCCCCAAAAATACTGCATGCGCGCGCAGCCAGCCAACCAGCAAACTGTCCGAAGCTGTCTGCCAACCATCAACTCTTGAGCAGAGACCGGCCGTCCAGGCATTCCAATAAGCCAGCCACGCCACGAAATTTTCTCAGAACCCAGCAATGTTCTCAGAAAAAAACCAACGTTCTTAGAACATAAGCCCGAGGTATTAAAACAAAGCAGTCTCAGCCAGAAGTGCTCTATAAGAACATGCCGTGTAGACCACACGTGGTTCTTAGAACATTATTTGGTGGGCCTATCGGCGAGCCGGGACGCCTCGCCACTGCTTGAGCTTCAGAGAACAAGCCCATCAACCAAATTGCCAGCAAGCCAACCGACAAAAAAACCAGGCACCCTGCCGACCAGGCGGGGCCACGCGCGCAGCCCGAGGAGGGGGGGGGGCGGCAGCGGAGGGCGAAGCACCTCAGATGTCCTCCGACGGGGTGATGCCGCTGGGGCCCGAGTACCCGGAATCCGCCGCCGTGCCCCCCGGCACGCCGGGGCGTGCTAGAAAATGCCAGGCACCGCCTGGTAGGGACTCGTTCCCCTCTTCTGCGGACTACCTCCCCCCCCCTTCGGCGCACTGGGGCTGCATGCGCCGGACCCCCTCCCGAGGCCGCCGCGTGAAGCCCCGGGAGGCCCGAGGTGCTGCACGATACACGAGGTGTTACACGTAGCTTGGGGCCTCCCGTCTCCCTCTCGACTGGACGCAAGAGGGACCTTCCGCAGGAGTGATCGTTGGTGCGGGCACAGATGGGCCCCCAAATGTCGGAAAACGAAGCAGTCGCAGCTGGTTGCGCGCCCACGTTTGGTGCCCCCGCGGCCCACCAAAAGCCGCGCACCAAAGGTCGCTCTTACCCAGGGTCACTCTTGCGTATAGCCGATCCCTCGCGCAACGGCCACCGAAAACGTTGCGCTTGCACAGTGGCGGGACCTCGCGCAGGCAGGTGGCTAGTGCACCCCATTGACGGTGAGTGTGTCGAAAAAGTCCTCCGTAACGAAGCTCTCCACCGCGATGGGCGTGGCCCGCTGCAGGTTGATCTCAAGAATGCACGTCTGGACGGCGCCGTAGTTCTGCGGATAGTTCGGGCTCTGCACGCAGGCGCCGACCCTCGTGCACGGCCCGACGATGGCCGCCCACATGCACCTTCGGCCTCCCTCCCCACGCAGCTGGATGTGCGCCGCCCTCCTGATACGGGCCTTGATCCTCACACAGCTTGACTGGACCAAACGGGGTCATAACACGGCTTGAACCGGTCGATCCACAACCAGATGTGAGGGGGAACCTGGGGTCCGAGCGGCCGTTCTAATCAGCACTCCCCGCGGGCGCGGGCAGAGGCGAAGGGCTGCACCAGAAAACTCAGAAAGCCTTGCCTCTGTCCGGGGGTGTGGTGGCCGAAGCTGTGCCCGAAAAGCTGCCTGTGTGGCCGAAACGGGCGCACGAATTGTCAGAACGCGCCAGACGGTGACGGAAATGCTTGGTTCGAAACCAATTCCGGACACACCCTCCGTCGCACGACATTCTCGGTCATAACTTCGGGCACGCTTTCGGTCACCTATTTTGCTCGGTCACACACCTTTTCGGCTGACATGGGGCCACGCGTCGTGAGGGAACGCGGAGATCTCCGAAGACCTCCACCCTGCCGTCGCTCGTGCACTTTTCTGTTTCGTGCGTTTTTGTTGTTTGTTTGTTGTGTTGTTCTTCCTTTGTTTCAAAAGCAAAAAGGAAAGGCTCCTCGATTGCCCTCGACGACACAAGGCACGCGCCCCAGCGATGCCGAGCACCGGGGAAGCGCGGAAAGCTATAAGACCTCCAAAAGGGGCCGCCGCGGGCGCCGACTCGCCGGAGCGCGACAGCTCCTCCGCGCGCGGATCCCGGCGCGGCGCGCCGAACCGGCAGGCCCCGGGCCTGGCCCCGCCCCGTGCTCCCTGGCCTGGGCCCGGCTCCTGCCCCGAGACACCCCAGGCGACGCCGCGGGCCCTGGCCAGGCCGAAGCTGGGGGGCCACATGCGAACCCTACTCCTACCCCCAACGATTTCAGAGGGAGAGGGTGGGGTTCACTTCCCGAGGGAAGTGAACCCCACCCTCTCCCTCTGAAGTCGTGGGGGGTAGGGGTAGGGTTCGCATGTGGCCCCCTAGAACCTGCAGTCGGACCCTCCTTGGCGGCGCGCAGGCGGGGGCGGAGGGAAGGGGGAGGGCTTCCTAGAAGGAGGCTGCTTCTTAGCAGGCGGCGGCCTGACATCCATACGTGAGGACCGCGCCTTCCAAGAAGCAGGGGTGCTTCCAAGAAGCCTTCCCCCTCCCCCTACCCCCCTCTGCGCGTGGCCGACCTTAAGTGGGCCCGGGAAACGACTGGGCCGTTTTTGCTACTGGTTCCGCCTTGCCGTTCTTTCTCCGGATCCGACGCCGTTGCTGTTGCCGGTTCCGTCGCCGTTTTCTTGCCAGTTCCAGCTCTGGTTCCAATCCCAGAGCCGTTTTTGTTGCCGTTTCCGGTCGCCGCTTGTGTACAGCTTCCATTTTCAAGAGACACTTTTTCGAAAACGGTGGACAAAACGGCCCTGCCGTTTCTGGGGCCCATAAGGACCTAGGACGGAAGAACATCCTTCAAGAACATGGGACCCTCCACCGGCCCAAGATGAAGAGCATTCAAGGGTACCCTCCCCCGGGATGCACAAAAAAACATCCAGCAAACACAAAGAACAGTAGGACACCCTCCCCAGACCGACCTCGATCTCAAACCTCGGCCCGACTGCAAGTCGGCGAGCAGGGGGTCCCAACGCCGCGTAGTGACAGACCGCGCGGTGACCTCGGAATCCCAAGACACTTCACCGCGCGGTCCATCACCACACAGTCTTGGAGACCGTTTTTTGAATCGACGATCACCCGGGTTATCTGGGGGGGAGGAGGGGCAAGCCGACAACCTAACCTTTGCGCTGTGGGCAGCCCTGCATATGCCTGCGCCCCCCCACCCGGGACCTGCACAACCGGCAAGGTTAGGTTATCCTGGGGGGGGGGGACAAACCCGATAACCTGGGTTATCGCCAGACCCTAGAAAAACAGTCTCCAGCGGCTATGGAGGATGCTTCAGGAACCGCGGCGTTCTCAGAGCGTTCTGGGACGCAGCGACAGCGTCCTGGAATGCACTGACACGACGCGTCCCTGTCCTAGCGCCGTTCGGACCAGAATCTCGAGGCGAATCTTCTGGCCGTGGCCACGAAGAGGTCTCCTGGAGGCCCCCAAATGGCGAAAGCCGCACAACAAAAAACTGTACCCTCGACGTTCGCTGTCCTCTATACTGGGCAGGAGGATGGGAGGATGTGCGAGGCGTGGACTCATCCATATCCAACGCCTGGGCAGACGAAGTCCGAGAAGGTCGGCTTCCCAGGCGGTGGATACGTGAAAATCCCAGCGAGGGAACAGGATACAGGGCACTTTTCGTGGTTTTTAATACAGAATTAGTTCATGAATAAGTTTATGCATGAACTCATCATTGTTTTTCATGCTGAACCCCTGCATTCTTAATCCATGATCCGCACGCGGAGCATGTATAAACAAACGGCAATGTGGGCAGGAGGAGGAGGAGGAGGAGGAGGAGGAGGAGGAGACGCCCCAGGGGACCGCCCCGTGTGTGGGCGGAGGAGGAGGGCTGCCGGCTTCCGATAACTGTGCTCGGGCGGCGGGAAAGACCCGAGGAGGAGGAGGAGGAGGAGGAGGAGGAGGAAGAGAAAGAGCAGGAGGAGGAGGAGGAAGAGAAAGAGGAGGATGAGGATGAGGAAGAGAAAGAGGAGGAGGAGGAGGAGGAGGACGAATAGGAGGAAGAGGAGGAGGAGGAGGAGGACGAGGACGAAGCGGAAGGACGCCACAGCCGTCGGGAGGAGGAGGAGGAGGAGGAGGAGGAGGAGGAGGAGGAGGAGGAGGGTGTTGGGAGGTGTAGGAGGAGAGAGTTGGGAGATGGAGATGGAGGAAGAAATAACAGCTGGGAGGGGCGAAAGGAGGGAGGGAGGGAGGAACGGGGAGGAGAAAGCGGGAGGAGGACGCGGAGAGGGGAGGAGGGGGCAGAGGAGGGAGAAGGAGGGAGGGAGGAGAGAGGAACAGGGGCGGAGGGGCGCCTGCTCGGCGAGAACAGTGCGCGCCCCGCGACGACGTCCGACAGCGGCTCCCGCAGCGCCGCCGCCGCCCCCATCCTGCCGCCCCCGTTCGGTCGGCCCCGGGCGCCGGCGAGGACGTGGAGGTGGCGGCCGACGTCTCCTGGGGGGGGGGGGGGGGGCACCGCTGGCGGGAGAGACGCCGAGGCAGAGGCAGGTACAGATACCCTCCATGGGGTGTTTTGTCGCGGCATGGCCCCCCAGAAGCCTGGACCTTTTCCCCAGAACCGGCTCGGCATCCCGAGTCGTTTTTCGACGGCCCCGGGCCTCATGAGGGCCCCGAGAGGCCGAATTGATTTTCGCGAACGGATGTCCGGGTCTCGATGGCCCCTCGATCCAAGTCAACAAGTCAGGATCGCCCCTGCGAAAAGACAAAACAACTCCGCTGGCCTCTTTCCAGGACGAGAGGATGTCAACGTTTCGATGGCCCCCCGATTTGGCTCAACGGTTCAAGATCGCCCCCGCGAAGAAGCAAAACAACTCCGCTGGGCCAGGCCCAAGACGACAGGACGTCTGGGAGGGCCAAAAGGCAGACGCCTCCCGATTTGAGGTCCGAGCAGGTGGGGTCGGAGAATCGCCCCGCATTGTCGGCGCATCGGCGATGCTGGTGATGCATCGGTGACGTCGGCGTGGAAAACATCGAGCGCCACATCGATCCGCATCGCCGATGCATCGGCGACGTGGCGCGGTCCCCCGACCGCCTATACTCGGAACCAATTTGGGCGTCCAGAATGGGGGCATAACAGACATAAATTTGTAACTCCGGAACTTTCGGAAGTCCGCGCGGACCTCTGGAATGGCAAGCCCTCGGCTTTGCACCCTCGTTGCGGCCCTTGCTGCGGGCGCCCTCAGATGCGAGCGCCGAGCGAACGGCGCAAGGCGCCGAGCGAGCGGCGCAGCGCATGCTGACAATTACCTGATGCTTCTGCGCAGTACCATGTAAGCCGAAACCCCCGTGCAAGACGACAACTGCCTGCGCTTGGCACACAAAACACATCAGCACCCGTGAAAAGCCCTGGATGGGGTCCGAATACATGGGGTCGGAGGATCGAGCCGCATCACGATGCATCGGCGACGTCGACGATGCATCCGGGCCATCGGCGCGGAGAGAACTGGGCTCCGCAGCGAACCGCATCGCCGATGCATCAGCGACGCGGCGCGACCCTCCGACCCCATCTGACTGGGGGAAGCGATCAAGACCCCCCCTCTGGGATATCGTTGGCGCCTGCACGAAAATAAACAATCCATGGCGGCGGAACCAGCGGAGCGATATCTTGAGCACCGCGTCGCACCGCAAAGACAAATAGTCGTTGCCCCCCCCCCCTTCGGAAAAATAGAAACCTTGGCGCGCGCAAAGATTCCTGACGTCCCACGAGGAAGCATCGATGACAATTATCCAAATAGGCTTACCCTTTAGGAATCCTAACTCATCAAAAGTAATTGGTCTTTAGGACCCCCCCCCCGTTTTCCAATGGCACCACCCCTTTTTTCCAATGGAACTTGCTTGCTTGCTCTTGCGTTCTTGCTCTCGCTTCTTTGCTATTGCTTACCCTTGCTTGCTCTTGATCGCTGGCTCTTGCTTGCCTGTCATTGTTCACATGCGCTTGCTTGCTTTAGCTTGCTTGCTTGCGCTTGCTTGATGTTGCTCCTCCTTTTCTCCTCCCGTCCTGCTCCTGTCTTCCTTTCTTCCTCCTCCCATCCTCCTCTCGTCCTCCTCCTGTCCTCCCATATATTTGGAGTCAACGCTGGCTGATATGATGATTGATCCTGTGGCGTGGAACTTCTATGGCGCTGAACTCACTGAAATCGTACTGGAGCCTGCCTGAGAAAGCCGCCGGAAATCGCTGAGGTCAATGGGTACCCACTGAGAAACGGCAGAACCAGCTGAGCTGAGTGAGCTCAGGGTGAGCTGACCTCGCTGCTCAGCGCACGCATGAGCTGGCCTCGCTTCTCCCAGGCGCGGTTACAGAGGCTGCGGTCGTTTAGGTCAGGCGCGTTCGTGAACGTTGCCACTGAGGAGAAAAGCCTTTACTAAGATCCCAATGAGAAAATAAGTTTCGTCGGCCGTCCTAGGGGTTGGTCCATCCCATGGCTTCGTACCCGCCACAAACGGAGCGTTTTCTCTGCACCGGGGATCTCCAAAAATATGTAATTTACATCCGAGGCTCCGAGGTCGATGTACTGAGTAGTTGTAGAACCAGTCGTACTAGTGGTAGGGTCAAACTTCACCTTCGTGTCTACTAAGAATGAATGGGTGAGGGTAAGGGTTCGGGTTCGGGTTCGGTCTCGGGTTCGGGTTCTACACAGTCATATAAAACCAAATAGAATAACATAGAATAGTCGGATTTAAATCGCACACGAAGCAGAAGTTCGGAAACCCACAATTTCGCCATTCGCTGATAGGAAAACAATACAAGGGTTATAGACCTAATAGTACACGAAGATGAAGTCCGGAAGCCCACTGATTCTAATAGTACACGAAGAAGGGGTTCGGGAATCCACAATTTCGCCGTTCGCTCGTAAGAAAACAATACAGGGGCTATTGAGGTTCGCAAACCCATTATGGATGACGAGAAAACAGCGTTCCTCTTTTCCTGCTC